TTTTTTTTGGTTTTTTTTTTTTTTTTTTTTTTTTTTTTTTTTACTTTTTTTTTTTTCCCCATCAATATTTACTCATTTCTATCGGTTCTCGTGTTAATCACGCGCACCAGCGGTTTGCACGCATGGAGTATGCCATGAAAAAAATTATTTTCCTCACCCCAAGTCAAAGGAAAGTGTTTTAAAATAAATAAAAAAATTTCCGTGTACTTGAGAGGAGACGACATCGTAAAAATCTCCCAAGAACACAAGAACATCGGATTAACAAAGGGAAAAATGGTAGTTGATTTTCCGCGTTTTAATTCGTCTCCCCTTTTACCATCATCCGCTTTAATAACCTTGCCATTGTCCGGCTGCGAATCCCTTTATCTCCGTTGGGGCTTATTCTCATTAGCATATGCCTTTGTTTCGACTTTCATTGGACAGAAAGAAAAAGAGAGGAAAAAAAGAGAGAAAAAAAAATCCAAAAAGAACCGTTATCCCGCATCGTTTGATGCGTTACTTTCAACAAAAAAGCACGCTTCGTTTTTTCAAGTGGTGAAAAAAATAGATTAAATGAATTTTCCATTCCAGCAAACTACAAGTTAATCCGAGTTAATCCTACGTATTTTGGATCACCGAATGAGAATCTTTTCCGGCTATTAGGCTGATAGAACTGATTTTTGTTTCCATACGATTTACCTTAGCTCCGTTGACTTAAGGTAAAGTAAATTTAACAATTTTTCGCTAAAAAAAAAAATCTTATCAAGTCTGACTAAATATTTGGATTCTACGGTCCAGAGCACTTGAATAATGAGAGAAAAAATATGACTAATGTCGAAGAACAGTTTTTTTTTGTGTGTGTGATATTCATCTTTCATTTGACTTCCGTTATTACAATAGGTCGATTTTTTTTTTACAAATTATGCTTTGGTTGCGATGAAAAAGTTAAAAACGTCAATCGTTCGGCGCATGAAATCGAATTTTTCCACGACTGTATTGGAAAAAGTAATATTCCAGTCAAGCGAGGCATAGCGGGAGCTTTAAAAACAAAAGAAAAAAATATCAACTCTTCCGATAAGCACTTGATACCAATAAATGGAGTTAATTAGAAAAGTTGAATCAAAAAAAGGTAAAAAAAAAAAAAAAATGGCTTTCATCAAACAGTATCCCTGATAAAAAGAAAAATAAATCTCGAGGGGGGAGGAAGTTTGAAGGTCGCATCTTTGTAATAAGTATGTTTTTTTGCTGCGATGCGGCGACTGTTTTCCTCGGTCGAGCGAACAGCGCTCCAGAAGCTTTGCGCCTCTTTGCGAGGGGGAAAAAAAAGAGGGAAAAAATAGGAGAGACGGGAAAAGAAAGGAGGAGGACAGGACAGGATGTGCCGACAGCAGCTGCTCGGCGTGACGCGGGTAAGGAGGAGGGAGAGATCGATAAAGCCACGGGGACTTTACCTGTGCGCTGCTGCCACCCTGTGACTAAAGTATTTTTGTTGTTGTAACACGGACATGAGTGTTTATACGTGTCCTTCACAATGTATCCAGGGAGACGATTTTTAGTCCTGCTGCTGTTGTCGCGTGCCAAACGGACATTCTGTTCTTTTTTTTTTTTTCTAGAGTATGGGAGTGGGGGGATGATGAGTTGCAAGGGTTGATATTGCTTGTCTGGTAGGGCAGTCAATTACATCTGTACGCGGTTCAGGGAGTGATGTTTTTAAGCAGAAAGGTAGGCGAAAACGATAAGGACTTTGATTTGAGATTTAAAGAAGTTCGCGTGCTGCGAGAGAATTTTACGAGTAACGAGTTATTCTTATTTATTATCATGGCTGTTCCATGCATGACATACTTCAGTTATTGTGGCCTTTTCGGGACATTTTTTACTATAGGTACTTTTCAAGCATAACCTCGAAAATAGAATCAAACACCCTCACTATCCTCAAACAAACGGATAATTGATGAGCAAACGTTAATATGTAGCGCTCAACTATAAATTTACAAGTTTTAAGGTAGCGATAAGTTTTTACAAATCACATTAATATTATTAAATTAATATAATTTTGTAATTTCAGCATTTTTATTCAAACATACATTGCAAGCTAAAAGAATTTCTTACAAAAATATGATTATTCGCAATACAATGGAATTATTTTTACGAATTTGTTGCTACGAAACTATTTATTTTTTTCGCAAAGTTTGAAATTTCAACTATATAGTTCGATTCCTACAGCAAAATTACAATTTACATAAAATTATTGCTATATCTATAGATTTTCTGGATTAGCTGTAAAGTTGTAGTCTTTGAAACAAATCTTGTACGAACTATTTATTTAAATTATTCAATTCAAAAAGACAATTAACTGACTGCTAAAGAGAAAACAATTCCTTTAAACCTGTAAGTGAAATTTGAAATCATTAGCAGATATCCAAAGTTTCAATAAAAAAAAAAAAAAAAAAATTAATGATGGGATGGTGATACAGCGTGCAAATGAAATTAAAAAATTTATTCAATTTAATATGGAAAGCTTAACTAAAATAATTATTTTTTCAAAAGTGGACTTCTATAAGTCATAAAAAAAAAATCAATGAATCAACTATTGCAAGCAAGAGAATTTTTTCTTTGTTTCTAAATTATCTTTCCAAACAATGT